TCATTAACAAGCCATCAGCTGGAATAGTGCATATAGCTCTGATATTTGTATTTCAGGGACAAAATGGATTCAACCAAAATGTAGAAGAGGACCATAAAAAGTGATCCATAGGCTGGGCAAAAGTCTTGCAGTGTAAAGTTTGAGCTGAATTTGTTTTGCTGAATTGGAGAGAAGGCTGAGAAGTGACCTACTAGTGAGGTGTGGGAGAGAGGCAGGACATTTCAGCCTTACTGACAAGAAATTACAAGTTCTGTTGGCTGGAAGAAAAAAACACCTTGTAACATCACGTAAAGCAAGGGAACTGGTTCTTAATTTCTACTTCTCCATGCAAAACTGAGTCTAAACAAACGTCTCAGAAAAACATTCAGTTTCTACTTAAATGCTGTTCTTTATGCTTCAAATGTTACGGATTATTATAAAGCTAAGATCTTTATTCCTTTGCTTTGCATTATCTCACCTAAAAATAAGTACAGAAAGGAATTTAAGAGGCCTTCTGATAAAGTTCCTTGTCTCTTGTCTGCATAGTCTGTGCTACAAGAGTGATGAAACAGTAAGATTCAGGGAGTTTGTTGGTCATCTGTGTATCAGGAAGAACTTCATTCTTGTACTGTATAATTTGTCTTTTAAATAATTTTGCCTGCCTTTGAGATTGGCTGCTTTAGGAAGTGCAGTATTGAACACAGGTGAGCGGTGCTTTCAGGTGCGACAGGTGTTAATTTTTTTTTTCATAGCAATCAGCTTAATCTTCTAAGTTTGAGGTAGTTGGCCTAGGTAATTCTTGAAGCTTGAAGCAAGTATAGCTGAGTGAAATGTAATGTCTGTGATTGATAGAGAGATGGCCATGGTGAATGATCTAACATCTTTTTATATTGACCTCCAATCATATACAGCATTCCCAGCTATTAGGAGATTTCAGTAGATTCACTCAACTCCAATGCAGAATTGTTCACCTAATCCGTCACTGACACCCTCCAGACACCATCTAACAGTGTAAGTATATAAAGGTAAGTTAAAGTAAAAAACATTAATCTTCTTTGCAACATAAGCTCAAGAAATAACTAGTGCTAGCCTCAATTATATACATTAGGATATTTTTGCTTATGACATGTCCAAGCCCTTAATTCTGCAGCCTAGCAATTATCATTATCCAATAATCACAAGCACAAGAATGAAGATTGCACTGCAGCTAATGTATCGTTAAAATTAATGTAGTCTATTTCTTTTTTCCTCATGGTGTCACTATAGGATAAAGTTAATGCTCTTTGGGTATTGTTTATACTGGAAGATATTTCCATTTCCTTTGTCTCATCCTGAATTTCTGGATTTTTCTAATACTGGTTTAGAAAAGATGATAATAAATATACTGCCTTCAAATGTGGACAGGCTCTCTTCATCATTGACCCATCCTTAACATTGTGTGTGAATTTTTCATTTTGTTTTTTTAAAAGGATTTAATGTTAGAATAAATTTAGCTTTGGATAAGGATCTGGAGAATTTGAGTGGTTCTTCTAATGACTTGAAGGTAGGAATTGCCGTGTTTAAAAAAATGACAAAAAGGCATGTATCTTCCTGTTAGATGAGGTTATGATGTTAAATCTGTGATATATTTTCTATGTGTGAGGAAGAAGTCTAAGGCCCTCAGTTTGGCCTAAGCTTCACTTTCTCTTACGTGGTTGTAAAGTGTTTTGAATTCAGCTTTCTTGATTGATAGAAAAAGTAGTTTTCTTTTCCAAGCTCTTAGTGGCAAGAGGGAGAGAGCGCTTTGTTTCATTTACATATCAATAGTATTTTTGTCTGTCTAGTTGTTACCACTTTACCCAGACCTACATTCTCAAAGATGTCTAGGTACCTGACTTCCACAGCGGAATGGTGAAAGATGTGGCACTAGCAAATACATATTCATGTTAAGTAGGACTGAAGAGAAATTTGCTTGTGGTATTGTACAAGAGTGGGGGCCAGGTACGGAGGTGGTTTCCCATTCCTGTATTTGGAGTACATCCTTCCTGAAAGGCAAGGACCATAGGCCATTTCCCTGCTTTCCCTTTCCTGCCTCTTCAGTAGGACAGCGGTGTTTGGCTAGCTGCCTTCAGGACTATGATGAGGATGAGTGTGACTGTCTACTTAGTAGGAAGGAAATCGTCCACCAATTCCACAAAATCTTCATCCTTGTGTGAACTCTGGCTGCAAGTGAATTGTTTCAGTCAGCTGAACTTGTGACCAGCCTCCATCTAGCTTGGGTTATCAGCTGACAGGTGTAAAAGTTAACTAGAACCAGTGCATTCAAGGCTGGACTTGGTAGCAGTATGGTCAGTTTGCTAATCTAGCAAAGAAGTTGTTTCACCTAAAGTTACAGAGCATTAAACAGTTACAGAGCTTTTCAGTAGAAGCCTGAACTTTTTAGTGAGCTAAAAATCCTGTCAATACTTCCAGCAAGTTAAGAGTCCTTTTTTTCTCCCACACTCTTCAGCTGGTCTTTTTACATGAGATAATGGATATCCCTCTTCTTAGGTAAGTGCACACATTTAAATACTGTCTCTAATCCTTATGCCATGTCTCTCACTTACATGCTTGTCACTGCCATACAGTTCCTCCATAGCCAGTTTTCTTTAGCCTGGTAGTTTGGAGACAGCTGAAGTTACTATTTCTAGGCTGTTGTCTTGATGACATCTTAGACATCATCCTCCAGTGAAGTGTGAAGCGGGACAGCTGAACAGCACACATTGAAAGAAATCTAGGGCAAGATTAGATGAGCGTGCTGCACATGGCATGAACCGCCTGTTTCAATCTAGAATGGAAGACAAGTTTATTAGTTGTCTAGCATGCTACTTTCTTTTCCAAAGGACTGACACAACCTTCTTCATGACCTTCTAACTCTCTCCATGGTAACCATTTTATGGCCGTGCCAGTTTTGATGCGGAGATGTTAGGTTCAAACTGGAAGGCGTGTAACATTCTGCAGGAGAAGCAGGCGCTCAGCACATGTGGATCTGGTATTCTGCCAGTACGTTTATGAGTGTCTCCTGCTGCCAGCTGTGAGCAGTAGCTCCTCTGGCTTTTAATAAACACCAGGCCAAGCTGGAGAAGTCACCATGTCCAGTCTCAAATACAGTATCTGCTTTAGTAATCCCTCCACCTCCGTAACATAGAATTTCCCTGTTGTTTCATCGGGAGTTCCTCCAGTCTTTGAGCCTTCTCCCAGCAGTAGCTTTTTTTACCTTTTATATTAAAGACCTCACTACCCAAATAAGTACCAAAATCTTTTGTCACCCCCACTTACCTCACTTTGATTCCAACTTCCTTATTTTCTCATGTCAAATGCAATCTACTGCCACATCACCTCTTTTCTTTTGCCAGTTCTCCACTCTCCCGCTGTAAGGCAGTTGTTGCAATCAACTCCTGTTTTTGCAACAGCCAAATGCTCCAGTTTCTTCACATACTCCCCTCGACTGCCTCTGCTTTCCTCTTACCTTGAGTAGAGATCAAGAACAGCAGTCTTCCTCACTTTCTGATCTTTTGGAGGTGTCTGGCTTTTTCCCTACAGTACACTTTTAAGACTGACCATTGTCCCCTTACTGCCTGTACACTTCCAGCATACTAGGAACTTTAATGAGAGGTCACCTTGACCAAAAAGGACTAAAGATCAAGTGGTAACTGCTTTGGGTTAGTACAGATCTGTAGAAGTCTCTTTGGATCTGAAGGAAGGAATGCTGAACCACTGTCCCATGCCAGAGGGGATCCTCATGGACTTCTCCCCAACTCACGCTAGTTATCAGTTAGCGAGGGAAACGTTTCCCTCTAAAATGCCAGTTTTCTGCAGACACAGAAGTGCCTTATGCCTGTTAACTCTTCTCTCTCCTTCCAGTTTTAATTTGATGACTGCTGTGGGGACTCCGGTCATTCACTGCCTCACTACGTCCCAAAAAGTTCTCTCTTCACACTCATTCCTTGCCTCACCAGCCATTCATCTGTCTCATCTTTCATCAGTCTTGCCAGCTGTCCTCAGACTCTTTTGCCCCAAGTCTCTCTCCCAAACAAGTTCAGTAGCTTACTGTGCCGCCTTACCTGCTCGACATCTCTTTGATGAACCTAGATCAAATTCTTCCTGCAAGTATTTCCCTTATGCCTGTTTAGAGTTGTGCTGCTGCTCCGGTCTCATCCTTGTAATTTTCGGGGTCACGCAGCTACCCGAGAGGTGCCCCAGTTTTACAGCCTGAAAATCTGGCCACTTTGTACTTTTGGTGCCTGAAGTGAATGTGCTTTAACGTAACTCCCCGTGTGACTCTTTACAGGGTACGATTAAGTATGGGAAGTCAGCAGTGCACCCAAGAACCAGTTAATTAAGGACTTTAAAGCGTGAAGTATTTACCATGTGTAAACAAAACCTGTATTCTAAACCAAAACTGCCTCCACAGCAATTCCTGGGTTTGTGCGGGACAAGATCCAAAGCCCAGTGAAATTGGGGCAAGGGGAAGACTTTTCTCTGGTTTCAGTATCCTCTGCATCAGGCCCCTTATGTCTTTTAGCAAAGATAAAATGATGCACAAAGCACTGGGACTGTACAACTTCATTTTATTTTGTGTGCTTTTATAGGATATAAATAAATGACAAAATTACAAAATTTATAACTGGAAGCCCAAGCATATTTACATAAGTATTTGTTGCAGTGAGGCTACTATTTACTGTTCTCCTATACAATTTTCCTTTTGGTACCATATTTTTAGTGTTATTTTTTTACTGTCATTTGACTACGTACATATCAACAGTGAATAGGCAAAATATGTACAAGGAACTATTTTGTTCAAGTAACTTGAATACTGTATTAAAAGTATGTATGTCATCACTCAGCGCTATGATTAGGTTTAACTAAACCATATACAAGTATCAGGTTTAAACCAAGTTCAGTTATCCATTTTTTTTGGAATTTACCAGCTGATGATACTAACTGAAAACCTCAGCTGGATAGGAAATAATAATTAAAAAAACATTAAGACAACCACACAATTTATCAATATCTCTATAATGAACTTCAAAATGATTCACAATTTGACTGGATAGAACAATATACGTTAAAATGTCATTTTTCTCCTATAGTGATATTTGTACTGTTATAATTTCAGTTCTACATAAATATACATCATGGTATTATACAAATACTCCACAGACATTAAAAAAATTAAAACACTTCAAAGAAAATGTAAGTAAATCTTATTTAATCAAATAGTAAGCAAATGCTTAACTATTTTGTTCCATGAAAACATTTTTATTACTTTGGAATTTTTTTCTTTTTCTTGCTCTTTTTATTTAGAAAATGTTTTGCAGTAGAATTTTATCAACACTCTTCCAAACAAGCTTTCTATGACAGAAATTTTGATAGCAAAATCCATGGTTTTGACTTTTTTTTAGAACCACTGAGATTATTTTTTAAAAATACTAGTAGAATTCATGGCTATAGCAATGTTGAACTGCATAAACTATACGTAGCTGTAGTAGAATGACAATTCCACTTTCATTCCAGACTGATCACACGGAACATCCAGTGCACTAATGCTACAACTCTTAATTTTCATAATGCTGCAATAGCAGTGTTTTACTTAACTTTAAAATAAACAATATTTGTCATAATTAATCTGGCTTCCTTCCATAAATATTCATATGTTTTCCTATAGTACTTCTCTTCCATAAAAATATCTAATAAATGTTTTCTGTGCATTATTAATACCTTTTTCTAACCATTCATAAAACTCTGATCCTTTGTTACAATGCAAGAGGTTCCTATTTCTGTAGAGGATCAAAGGACACCAATGATTACATATAAAACCAGCGCACACAGAAATCAGGGTACCTAATTTCTTGTCACTTTAATGAGCTCTTTATTCAACACAGTAATTATTAATGAATTCAGTGGTTTCACAAATACTCTACTTATTAATTCTGATTCTATTTCAATTAAAAACTGCCAAGATTTAAATAAAAAACCAATCAAATATTCTACTCATAGGCAGCATTAGTGTTAGTTTAGAGACCTTTTGTTTTTTTTAAAAAGTAGAATTCTAAAATAAGAAATCAAAGAAAGCACTGTGGCAGAGTCACAAGGGAGAACTGTGTGAAAAATAAGGTTTCTCAACTCCTCTTGTGGACTGTAATTTTAAAAGTCTTCATATAGTGTCATTCTTCTGTCAGTGCTGCAGGAAGAAGAACATCACCAGAAACGACTGTCAGCCTTTTTTTTTAGTTACAAGGCCACTCATACAGTGCAGTCTTCCTCTCTGCTGGATTGAAACGTTGCCATAAAGGAAAGGCTGTGCTGTGACTGCTTGGCGTGCAAGGCACAACAGGGAACGGGGGGACAGTTTTGTATCAGAAAATGGTAGTTTCATACTTGGTATTAATGCCTCTTTTGGCTTCTTGTCCAGGTTCAACAATCCATGGTAGATTCGCAAGAGTCTTTTGTTCGGATGGATCTATCTGCTTTAAGACAAAGGCAAACATACAGATGGGTTACCATGTCTGTGCACAGCATTTCTAGCAGAAGTTTCTTCTTTAAATTAACAGAACACAGAACAAATCATGTATTGACAAAGTCCTACAGCAGTAAGTGCCGTGGTCCACACTACCGTGTACCCACGGTTGCCCTCTTTACCCTGTTTAGATCAGAGCTGGGTCTATCCCCAAGCTATAGGTTGTCATAGGTTGTTAAAGCTATGTGTAAAGCTAGACTTGATCCTGAGAAGTCCTTTTGTTACCGAGACAGATGACTACATCAGGAAATGTTCTTTCTCTAGAAGATTCATTCTGTGGCATTGGACAACAAAGTGTACAGCCATGTATTTTTTTTTTCCCCCCTTCCTCTCATCCAATAATTAAATATCACAGAGCATGGTTTTCATTTTATAGCCAGCAAATATGATACAGTGTGCGGTCATTTTCCCCCTTTCCCTCCCAAGTCACCCTGTGCCTGTATTCTCACTTGATTTAAAATAGTTTTCATCATTTTTTTAAAAGCTCTGTCATAAAAGATTCTTTCTGTACACTTTAAAGGCAATTAATATGTAGGCTCCAATGAGCTTGGATTCTTAGGAGTGTGGGATTCCAAATAAAATACTGAAAAAGTACACTTTTCAAAGTTTTGGAAGAAGAGTCTGCTGAGGGCCAAAAAAAAAAAAAAGTTAGAAGTTGCTTGGTGTGACAAGATAATTGTAAACTGATTCGGATTTGTAATTTGATGAGGATACATATGCAGTGACTGTGTGCCAAGCAAGTTTTGCGCGGATTTTATGTCTTGATAGGAGATCAGGAAAGTCCATGGAACCACAGAGTTTTAAAAGTATGCACTGGCTGTGATCCTCAGCACTTAAAAGAGCACAATACATTAGCATTAGAGTGAATCAAAGGTCTGCAATTACCATAAAAGACATGCATAACACTAGCCAAGCAACATCCTAAACTGGAGGAATCTGACATGAGCAGCTGTTTTGCAGTGCTGCAGTGACGGCTGATGAGCAGAGGTGGCACGACGGAGACATGAAGCATTTCTGACTCACCAGGTATATTTATGTATACAGCTTCTACGTAAATCAACTCAATTACATAGCTGAGTTTCAGTTTTTTTGCATGCACCACTGCTTTCTACTTACCACTGACTTCCGAATACTAACACGTGGTTTGGGAATAGGCTTGGAGGGCTTATTTTCAAAGCTTTCTGGGAGGGTTGAAGAATGGCCCCCTTTTCGTGCCTGTAGTGCAAGCTGATAGGCCACCTCAAATGCCTGTCCTAGTGTAAGAATGATTTCGTAAGCTAAATTCTAGAACAAAACAGAGACAGGTAAAATTGGAGTGAGGTTGAATTACTGGCAGATACATGAAGTGGGGTAGTACTGTCTACAGAAGCTATTTGTAATGTACATTATTAAAATCACACGTAATAATTTCGTAAAATTCTGCAGTATTTACATGCGTCATTTGATTTCTCATTGATTAAAAACAATCTAAATGTAATTGATTGTACTAAAAACCTTGAAAACATTATCTAACTAAACATGAAAACCGGAGCGGGTGAGGTGTGTCATTTCTCTTTAGAACAAGTTCATTAATCACCTCACCTTCCCAGCTCACCCCGTATCTGCTGCTGCCAAGGTCCCACCCGTCGTGCCCTACGGCACCTATTTGACATTCCACCTTGTTCTATTTCGGACCTCCGCTGCTGACCCACCCTCCTGCAGAGCCGGCAGCACAACGAGCGCCTTCCCCGGGCGAGCGCCTGGGGATGCTCCGCACTCCCACCGAACCGTATGGGAAGAGGATGCAGCGTTGGTGCGATGCTTCCGGAAGGACCAAGAGCAAACGCCGAAAGCGCGTGCCCTGCTTCACGGACGCAGCGCGCCTCCGCCTGCGTGGGAGTCAGTGCTCGGCTTCAGATGCGCGTTTCAAGTGCTGGGGCAACCTTCTCATAGGTTTTTTTTCTAGAAGTAAAAATGTTTGAGCTTAAACGGGCATGCCAGAAATCTCTTCTAAGTGTGGGGGGTTAGCGTGTATGACCAAAGACGACAGGCTCTTAAGACTAAGACCAGTTTGGTGGTATAGCTTGAATACTTGAAGTTCTTGTTGCATAATGTGGAAGAAAACCTGTAGGAAAGGTTTATAAAGCATGAATAAGGAACCAGGGGACGGGTATAAATAGATTGTCAGTACAGTTTTACATCAAAGCAGCTGTGAGGTTCAAATTCAACCTTAATCTAAACTGCAAGTGAATTTCTATGGTAATTTTTTTCAGGTTGGCGGGTTTGTTTTGTAGGCTCCTACTAGAGCCTATTTCTAGGCTCCTAACTTTCCAGTAACGTTTTGACCCCCTGCAGGGTAAATGCAAGCCTGCAGGCTTACCTCCTTATGTCCTACAGTCTCTGTAGAATAATTCATAAATCTTTCATGTAATTCAGAAGTTACCCTCTCCTTCCTGAACCCCTGCAGCCCATAGTTGGAAGCAATCCTGCATTGCTTTGAAAGTAGGCAATCCCTTAAAATTCCCACATTTCTGATATAATTTTAAATGAGATCTCTCTTTAGCTCGTCTAGTCTAACTGTTGAGTTTGCAATAAGCCAGAAAGCAATGCAAGACGCTTGGCAGTCCACTATCTGCCCTTCAATCGTTAAAACACAGTTGAAAGGATAAGCATTTTATTTCATGCCATACACTATAGTTTCATTGTAGTCATGAAGAAATTCCATCTCTTCGTTATCATACATGTATGCTGAGATAGTATAGGCTAAATTCAGCATATTTAACTCATTATAAAAGCTTCTTACACAGGTGCCAGCTCTGGTCTCCATTAGGTCAGACAGAAAACAATTATACACCTCCACTGGGATATGCTCTCAGCCGCTACGACGGCAGTCACAACAGCAAAATAGCCAAAGTTTCATAGCTTGTAAAATAAAAACATCTGCCTGATTTGATAGCAGCCGTCTCCAAATTGTCTCCCCTTTAACTTAAGGAAACTGGCCAGGACCAAGAAACACTGAGGATGCAGTTTGACAGTGGAGTAATAAATGAAAGACTAAAGAGACTTATACAGCACCCTGCCTTTTAGCAGAATACTGGCTATGGAATTAAGGCCAGAGTATAATTGTTTAAAATGTACAGAATAATATTATTTGAAATGGAGCGCGCCTATCAGTAGGACAAGAATATTATTCTAAAGACATCTTAATCGGCTGTCTTGACAGTAAGATAGAGTCATATATCATCATGGCATTGTCTACAGTGGATATTATTCTTGTTAAGGAATACATCAACCGGACAGGGTGTAGTAACGGGTTGGAGAAAAAGCAGACTAATGCTAGTGGGACTGAGAAAACGCACCATCCAGTGTGGCAAACAAAAAGGTCACTGAGATACAGGCCTGAAAAGCTCTGAGATAAGAGTGGGGACAAGCAGAGAGTGTGCCGTGCAGAAACGTAAATCTAGTCCGGGTCCTGCATCTTGTCAGAAGCCAGTATGATTTGTTTTCTTTTATAGTCTGTAAAATGAAAAAATAGGCCTGGCTGGAGCCTGAAAGCCACTGAAAACATGTAACTGTTTCTGTGGTTAATAAATATTTGAAATATAGCAAATAATAAAACAGAACATTCACTGTTCTGGTCAATATTTGAAATCTAAACTGAACCGCAACTTCTACGTACACTTCATACAGTGTGTACCATGGTGGAGCCTTGACGAGAAGTCTGCAATGGAGGCTTTAAAATTGTACCTTTGAAAATTTTAAAAAGCTGCCTGCAAAATTGTATTATTTGGAAAAAACCCAGAGGTAAGTGGGTTTGGTTTGAGGAATCTCTCACCTGCAGTACTAGGAGAGGAACACGAGCATCGTACGGATTCTTGCAGGGGCTACACCGGAGGGGTAAAAGCAGGATTCCCTCGGGGCTGGGGGCAGAAAACCGTACCACAAAATCCATGGTGGAAATTCTTCTGATGGAACGAGGAGACTATCTGATTTTTGTTACATGTGGCACAACAGGAAGGAAACAGGTCTGCCTCCCTGAAAGACACTTGGCACGGAAGTTTTAGACCTCCTGGTCACTGCAGAAGACATTGACGCTTACAGCGCTCCCTCCGGCTCCTTGGAAAGGAGGCAAAACTTTTAGGACCACGGTGCTTCTGGGGCTGCTACAAGCCCGTTCCTCGCTCGGCACAGCAGAGAAGGCGAGTGAGTATGCTAACGCCTCCGAGCAACAATTTCTGGGGGATGAGAAATTGAGGCCAATTGCCTTGTTTGCCACGTAATGTTACAATTCAATGCCCCGGTGCGAGTCTGCGTCAGGATTCTTCAGCCGCTTTAATTCAGTCGGCCCATTACAATGGCTAATTGTTCTGCGACATTTTAACCGACTTTTTTACTGTGCAAGTTGCAGCAGGCACTGCTGCTTCATTGTGTTTTCATGCTTCTGTAAAGCCATGTTGAGGCTTCAGGAATATTTTAAGAGAGGGAGTAAGATTTCTGTCTTTTGAGCTATAAAAACTTAAAATGTCACTTGCAAAGGTATTTTTTTGAAAAACTAACATTTTGCCTTTTTGGGAAATCACTTTTGATATAATAAGGATTTTATGGGTTTTTGCTTTTAGGTGATGATTTTTTTCCCCCTTTCTTTAAGATCAATGTCAAATCTGGTCTTTTTTGAAGTCTGAATTTACTGAAGAAGCTTCCTTTGGAGTCTTGCAGATGATTAGTGTGAGCTACCCATCACATCAGATGTGTAGGAATGTCAATTAGACACCCTGTGTTGAAGGTACCGAACTTAAAATCGCAGTTGGCAAAATTGAACAGAAGAGAGTGTATGGAACCTTTACTTGAAAAATCTGAAAAATCCCAACCCAGTTCAAAATATCCATCCCCTGGGATGAAATCAGTTGCCTACTTCTTAGTCATACTAGAGTCTTCATATTAGAGCCAAATATTAAGGATTTCTACTATAAAAGCCTGACAAGAAGAGAAGGTTACTCACTAGTAACGGGAGTTATGAGAGATGCAGAGCTGATGTACATACACCTTTACGCCGTTAAGTCTACATATGCTTTATCTCTCTAGACGACAAAACTTTTACATTTGGGGGGATCTGAAAAGGACGTGCATTTGTCTGTGCTCTCCAACATCAGCCTTTGTGCATTCAAGGGGAAGAAAGCTCAGCTCGCCAAAGGTGGTGTGATGAGATCAATGTGGCTGGCATTTGCTTCTTACAGCTCTGGACTCCTGGGCTGCATGAGGCTTTCATGACCAACTACAATTTAAATTCTTGATCCTTCCTCACTCTGGATTTAAAGCAATTGTGGATGGCAAATGCTTCTGAATCCATCCCTTTCTTTTAATGCGGCACAGAAAGACACCTTGTACGCAGTGGGAGGGTGGAAACAGGCCTTCATGAGTGGGGCTTTCGGGCTGTTGCAAAAGCCATTGATGTAGATGAGAGAAGAGCAATTAATTTGCTCATGAGCTGAAAGCGCCTTGTACCTGGGTGTGCTCCATCTCAAGAAGTTTGCTAGAAGCAACTAAAATGGTTTGACACATTCCACCTAATATTCCCCAGACAGGAGACTGTCTAGGCATGCTGCCTCTGGGTACTGCAAAGGAAAGAAGTCTTCTGTTCTGGAGACATGGGGATGCCATGGTGATTGTACCTGGATGATCGTATGAACAGAGAAAAAATGTGTAAAGTCCCCTAATCCCCTGAAGAAGGCAATGAACAGAACTTTGGAGACCTGAATGCATGCTTTTTCTTCTCTACTATGTATACTAGCAGTTTCCAATTCTTATCCAGCGTAAGTCTGTGCAAAGAAGGACAAAAGAATACAGAAAAGAAAAAAGTCTTTGTGTTGTGCAGAGCATCATTCTAATCCTTGGCATGAGCAAGAGCAGAAATTGTTCCAATTTATGCTGGTTGTCTTCTATTCATAGGTGCATTAGGCAATGAAGGAATATCTGATGGAAATTACGTTGGATGTCTCCCATATATGAACCAGAATTTGGTATAGGAACTGTTAGGATGGTTTCTCCAGAGGGAATCCTTCACTGGTAGTTTGAGGCCTGCTCAAAGTGAGCAAGAATGAAGTGGATTTCAAATATTGAGTAATAAATCTCTTCCCCCAGACCTTGTCCCCTTCAATATTCTTTAATCAAGTCTGATGCTTTTGCATTTTCGTTATAGAATTTTAGCTCTGAGTAGAGATTACACATGCAGTCGCTCCTAAATAGTAAGTATCACTAATGCTAGTAGCTGACAGGTCACTACACTAAAATGCTTTCCTATCTGCAAAAAAATTGTTCTTGCCCACACTTCCTGAGGAACTGAAGGACTTACGAGAGTGGAATTTTTTTCATGCCATTGCATATATTGTATTACCATAATATACATGATTTAAGATGCAACTTTTATACACCTTACTGTGGATTTCTGTAATTTCAAGCCTCATTTTTCTTAACATGGTTGGACTTCTATCCATTGACAAATGGGTAGGACTGTTTCTATTAGCAAACTCAAGTGTTAGACTTTAACCAGAAAATTGAATTTACTGTATGCTTGTGTTCTGAATATCTAGCTATTTTTTATGGAGCTTGTACTTGCATCAGAAATGCTAGATCCTGAGAAATGAAACAACACAAAAAGAGAATATTTGAGTAGGTAACACCCCACTGAGAATTATGTTGCAGGAGAAAACTAAGTTAAGACAGTTAGACATTAAAGTTTCTGTATTGCTTAAAATAGCCATTTAAAGTTCTTTGGGTATTAAATGCTCCTCCTAAGGTACAGGAAGAGAGCAAGATGTTGTAACTATTCCTGGATTACCATTCTTTCCTTGCCAAGCAAGAAGAAAATGAATTTCATCTGCTATACCTGGGTCTATGTTTGTGCTTGATGATTAAACCTATAAATGAAACTGCAGTACTTTGAAACCATTAAGTATTTAAATGGATCAGGATAAATAACCACCTCCCTCAATAAGTCTAATCTCAGTCGATTCACTTATCACTAAAATCTATATAACGTAACTTCTTGTTCACCATGGTCTACCTATTTTTAACACATTTTTGAAGTGTTTTCTACTCCCTGTGGACACTAAAATGTCAGAAGAGAAGTTAAACAACAAAAGCACTGAACCAAAACGCTGAAATTCCTTCTAACCTACCTTCCTGTACATCTCGTTATTTAAACTCTCCCACATGCTATCGCTCTGCAATGTTGACTGTTTCCCCAGTCCCAAATAAAATGCCTCAGTTCAGACATCTCTTATTTTTTTGATTTAACTTATATATATCCATGTAAGCGTGTTTCAAGAATTCATACACATTATACTGTATTATAATATTTTTTCTTGAATGATTCTGAAGTTTTAATAGCATCTTAAATTTCTCTTGTGCTTAACTCAAAGGGCAAGTATTCCTGAAAGTTTTGGACAATAAGCCCTCTTAGTCCTAAAAATTAGAGCCACTACTTATTTCACCAAATTTAGCTGAAAACAGTGTATGTGTTCACGATTTCTTGAAACACTAGTAGTCTGTGCATCACCATCTGTAACATAAATACAGGAGAAACTTAGTAATTGTCCACCAAAATAGCAGGAGCTGTAAGGACTTTTGCTGAAATAACATTTTCGAGATTTTCAGGCAAGAAGATTGGAACAAGGGAGTAAGAATAAAAGCATTAACTTGCTATTTTCAAAATAAAGGCAATCTTTTTGAAAAGGTAAAGGTGCTGCTAAAATAAAACTTTCCCAAATTCCGTATCTGCATTATTTGTTAAGCTAAAGCTCCCACTGACATGACAGACAGCAGAACAGAACAGAGGGGCCATCGAATAATAATAATCATCTGTTGATGGTTACAGGAGTAACCTCTTACACAGGAACACAGAAAGGACAATGCTCCACACAGATCTGTTATCACAGATGTTTCAAATCTTTCAGATTCAGTGTGGTGGCCAAATATTCCTAGTACCTCTTGAGATATGCAGTTAGATATCTGTGTGGTCTCCTCTTTGTCAGACCTAGAAGTGTTTCAGTTCTCTGGTTAAAATAAATACAAAACTTTTCATACATTCTTTACACATTTGCAGAGGAAAGCCTCAGTTTACCACTTCATTCAACATAATGTCAAAAAGTCTAAACAATATTTAGAGAGAGACATTTGAGTTATTGGGACCGATCCAGCTTAACACTGAAACACTAGAAGTCATGGAACAGCAGGGTAAGAAATCTGAAGAAATCACTTACAGTGGTAACATCTGACCTCTGGTCCAAAAAAGCAGCCCACATCTGCTTCATTAAGGTGGCATGTGTCCAGGCTCAAAGGGCCCCACAAGAAAGTGTCCAACCCTCTCACCCCTTGTGGGCTGGCATGGGCTGGACACATGAGGGTAAAAGCGACAAGGCTGGAATCTCACCAAACCCACCTTTCCCTGACGGCACAGGCAGTACAACGCCGTCAGGAATGCAGGATGCCCTGCAAAGTTAGTTTAATCTAGTTCCTGAACCTACCTCTTAGCAGGATTGAGCACTGTATATAATGCACATTGATCCAGTTCTGATTTGTTTATGTGGTGTGTGCCGAGATGTCAGAATGGGTGGCCAAAGCTGCTTGCTACAAACTTCTTGGAAGGCTACAGCTTAGGTTAGAAGAATTACATGTCAAGACTTGTATGAAAAGCTACTCGCTAAGTTTACAGTCAACAGCTGAGATTACAGAGGTGAGTTATTTCAGATGGGAAGAGATAATAGTGAAGAAAATCCTTGCTCTTCTCCAGAAATGTCCTTTTACTATCCCATAGTAGATTAGTCTTTTCATGTAGTAAACGAACGGCCCCTTCTATTAATCATGATATACCCTGAAAATGTTTTAATAGAATTAAAGAACTATTACTATTACAAAGAACTATTAAATGAAGTATCTTCTATAAACTGACCACATCAAACGCAGTGAATACATGGCAGTAGTGGTGATTAGTCTTCAAGTCTTTAGTGATGTACGCAAATGTAGAAAGGTCCTCAGGGTCTTGTGCAGCACAGGAAATGTTACGGATTTCATGTTCAGCAATAATATTCTGTTTAAAAAAAATATTTTCAATCAATTTAGCAATTAAATTTAAAAGAGCTGTAAAAGGTGTGGTTTTAGATTTGCATTTATGTTCATCTGCTGTACTGAAGTATTTCAGGAGTTTCTTAATAAGAAGAGATTTAACACACCCCATGTGTGATCTTACACAGGTCACTGGAATTTTGACCCTCTCCAATGATATCTAAAATTGCCAATCATCTGGTAGGAAACAATTACATTCTAGAGTCTTCCCTATGAGTCTGCTTGAGTTTTGTACAGTTTATTCAGTATCCTATGACAAAGAGACATCTTTCCTGTCATACAGCTGTAAATATAGTGTGTCAAGGCACTATATGAGCATCTTATGATGCTGCTGGTTTTCTGTATAATGATCACTGCATGACATTGTTTCAGTCTACTGACAGACAGGATCTGTAAAACCCAACAGGCTCAATGTCCAGGATTTTGCAAGTGGTGTTTGATGAATTTCAGTTATACTTTTCAAGAGAAAAACCATCAAACATCACTTATAATTGAAACCCTGAGCTCTTGAAAGGCTTCTGCTTAGTAAAAGGATAACTACAATAGGATCTGACAACTTTTCTCCACTTACTGACAACAGCATCCTGTAAGAGAGATGTAGAAAAATTAAACCATTCATGCACCGAGCAACACTACTTGCAACAGCCAATGTAAGCTAGAGCATACTATTGAGATAGAGGTGGGGCATGTCTGTCTGATGAAATTAAAAAAAGCTGTCTTAAAGCTTCGGAGAAAATTATGAATATTCATTACATAAATTGCTCATATGTAATTATTGTGCTCAGGCCAAAGGAACCACGAAGCCAGAGAAGAAGATACTGCAGAGTGGCTTATGATGAGGCCTTGCTTCAGCAACACACACATTTTAAATGATTTATTTAAACAGAAGAATGATTAATTGAATATGAATTTACTTGGTGATTAGTGTATGCACTTTTCCGAATCGTGGCCCTGTTGGCTGTAGCTCTGGCTTATCCACAAAAAGCCAAAGTGAAGAAGCCTGCGGCAGCATGACATCACTAGCGCGCCACAGAACGCGTGACATCTGTAGTGTCCCAGTCCCTCGCAGAGCCACCGTTTGCTGCTGCCTCAGTGGCGTCTGTCCAAGCTAAAACAATCTCTAAGCATCTCTGGTTTTCCCTCACCCCTCTCTTTTCCTTCCCACCTCCTTTCATCCCCTCTTTTATTTTTAAAGAACAGGAAATATGTGCAACTAAGTCACTTAGCAAATGAAAGAAGATATGGCAAAGCATCTTAAGTGGCAACTCTCCCCCTTGCAAGTAGGTGTCAAATTTTCGAAAAGACTTATTAATGTATCTAATTGAAGAAATCACGGCTTATGAAAAATCATAATAAAAAGCATTCCAAATTTCAAATTATGGAAAAACCAAGATAAGGAAACTGTTACTGAAGAAATGAAATAATCCCCTTAATCTTAAATTGTTGCAACATCCTTGATTATTTCTGTTTAATGCATTATTCATAAAAATGACAAAACCAGTACTTATGTTTCAATATATGCCAATTTATAATGAGACATATAATCTCTGCTTAACAGTCATTGGCTTTTTATGTTACTTTAAGCATTTTATTTTCTTTGTTCTCAAATTGATAACTTTTACCCTCAATAAAGATTTTGACGGGAATTACAGTAATAGCAAAATCAGGGTTTTAGATATCCACAGATATAGCTGTAATATACTTGCCATTAATGTTGTATTGGCAACATTGTAGTTTAGAAAGCAGAAAAAATTGAAGCTTGGAAGGTCTTAAAATCATGCGAAGTATATATGCCAAATCATGAGCCACAAAGTAATCAATCACCTGAATTTATGCAGTGTACGTGGAAAGAGCTCTGCTATGCTGTAACTTTTCCTAGGTGACCTGGCGTTGACATGGGGCTTTGCACTTGAGTCAAAACTCACAGAGATCTTTTTAACGTTTTAACTTTAAACCAAGTTTGGAAACATACCCGTATCAAGTTTGTTTTGAATAAAGGACACCTGAACTAAATCTTCTGGATGAAAATTAGTAGTGAAATAGAGCTTTTCCCTAGCTTCTATAGGATATCCTCTGTGACCTCCTTTCAAAATTAAACATGTTTTCAGTGCATGTGTTCACTGTTTCCTAGGGTCACTACTCCAGCAGACTCATAGTCTTATTCTGTAGAAATTGCAAGGCTATGAACCATCTCGCTGTTCTGGGTATGCTCCTCGGGCACTGACTGACACTGTAGAGTCATCGTTCTAAAAACTGTCACGCAGTTTGGCAAGAGAAACTCGGGCGCTTCTCAAAAAGCAGGGAAGCTGAAAGTCGCTTCTGGTTCTGCCAAGGAAATACCTTGGTGAGATCAGGTTTTTGCTAAGCAGCCTTCCTTTTGCTTGCCTACCTCGTGCCAGCTAATCCCTCTCCTGGCAGAAATCATCCAGAAGTTAGGGTTAGCTGTGAACCATGAGAAAATTCTGCAAGCCTGCTTTTTCCTGAGCAGCAATTTCTTTCTGGCCTCACTTGCAAAGAAATGGTGTTATGTCAAAGTGGTGTCATGCCAAGCTTCAAGGCGCCACTGAAATAGCTGCTGTGGAACGAGGTCAGGGCCCCTTTGTCACCTGAAGCTCTGCCTGCTACGACTCGGAGCACAGATTCTTAGCTTGGTGGCATAAAGGAAAAGGATGAACAGCCATGAGAGCTGAGTTTTCAAGCACATAACTGCTAGGCTATTTTTGTCATTAAAAAGTATGCATTTACTGCTAAACGGTGCCCAGCGCTGTCAACTATAAGCTCGTATGGAAGCGGTACAAGTCTGAACAGGATCTCACCTTAGCGCTAATCTGTTTTGGGTCTTGAAGGAATTGGGTACAGCACACTGTGGACAAGGATGATAACAACGCTCCTGGGAGAGTTGCAGGCTATTACCTGGTTTTTACAAAAGGGAAAGGCAGTGCAGATTTTGAACTGGAGAGAAAGCAATCTACCACTTGAGAAAAAACACAGGACTGTGGCATTATTTACCTCCATCAAATACATCTATTGCACTACTAGGCGTAAGATTTCAGTGGGACCGGTCTAGAGCCAATGCAATTTGCCAAACTTCTTTCAAGTTTCCTGCTTACATAAGATTATATGCACCGTGCAAAGAGACACTGGAAGCTCCTTTTGTTCTGATTTTTTTTGTAAATCTAAGGACATTGCAGTTACATCCTTTACACTGCAGAGGAGATTTAAGAGCTGAAAACAGCCTTATCCAAGTTAGCGGTAATAGCATTACAATGTCCTGGTTTATGCCCTGCACATCAGAGAACATAAAGGAAATGAGTGTTGTAGAAGCTCAATTTTGAATCAATGGAAGAAAAAGGAGCCGACAGGAATCCCTGGCCTCTCTGCTCTGGCAAATATGCCAGAATTGACATAACAGTAATTTCACCACTGTTTTTCTTTCATGCCGTCTTCTAATCCTGGATATGACTTCCGAACTCCAGCAGAAATTCACAAATCTGCTTTTGTTCCTTCATTTAATACCCAGTTCTAGTTGAACACCTTTAAAAACTGACTGATTTGGCAAGTTTGACGGATACTGGGTTAGATGTATTGTGTGGTCTGAATGTTCAGCAACACAAAGCAGTTATATTCATTATTAATGTGGTCAGGTACATGGGTTGTCAGATTTAATTTTTTATATTGCTTTAGTGAGTTTTAGTCACATAACAGAAAAGATAATTTCTTTTCTATTCATATGCAAGCAATCAGTAGGGACTGTATTTTCTTGCCATTTTAGACATCCAAAGAAGGGAAATTCATGCACTACTTTACTCCTGCTCACAGAATTTGCACATTTTACTTTGGCTAAGCAATAACCCATTCCTCTATCCATCACTGAATTCTCTGATCTTTCAATTTCTGCTTTTTTTTCTTTTTTAAAAAAACAATGTTGGATGTATTTAATATGTAAGAAACAAAACACAGGGGCATTGCCACACAGGAAGATGAAAAAAATATGGAATAACAACTGTTAAGAAGATGCTGCAGTTCAGGGCGTTAAATGGCTAGTAGCAGGAAAATAGTTCTCAGAGAGGCTCTGACATTTGAAAAGGACATTCAAGGCTCTTATTTCTTAGTCTTACAATGGCTGGCCCTGCATAAAACCTTGCATCTTTATTGTTCATTGAGACTTTTTTTTTGGACGAAATTATATTAATGAGCAAATATATATATATATTTTCTGCACATTTAAGGAACTGTACAGGGAAGAATATGGTAAAGGATTCCACAGAGGCTACCTGCCAAATGTCTTTTGTGATAAGCTTGCATTTTAATGGCAGAAGGTTGGACACAATGTTCTACAAATGAGCCATTAAAGCTACTTCACTTGTCCTCCAGACTGAGTTTCTGGAGAATGACAATAAGATTACATCCATTTTGGAGAGAAGAGAAGAGAAAAAAAGACAGGAAAGCACAATGTGCAACTCTGTGCCCTCTCTGGCCTCGTGCTCTTACGGAGCCAGCCTCATAGGTATTCCTATTTGTGAGAAATAAAAGCAAATATTGAACAACTGCACATACCTTATTCGTTGCATCAATAAATTTGACTCCCTTGTAAGAGACAGACAGGACAATGGTTGGTACTTTCTTCATCTGTTCTGTAGACTTCTGAAATCAAAATGAAGACGTTGTTAGTGTTGTGTTACGCTGCAAGAATGGCGCTCTTTCTCTTCTTCTTCTGACAAAACACCTAAGTTAAACAAAAGGTACTTATCCAAATATTTGACTTTTACTTGAGCCAACTATACTCTGGGCTTTTGAAATAGCTGCCTTGTAGTTACAAAACTAAAAAGAGCTTTACAGTTTGCTGTGAGGATGGTAAAAATTCTCCTTTTTCCTAGCACAATGGGAAGAGAATGAAATAAGTTTGCCAAGCCCCAGTCATACAGCCAGGGGTTTCCCCAAACCTGTGTGTTGAAGACATCCATCTGATATGCCCCATTCATCGCTGCCTCCCCTCCCCTCTTCCTGCCCTTCCCAGCTGTAAAAACCAACAGCGTGGTACTTTTCATAGTACTGTTTCTTTGCTGCAATTAGTTGTTATTTAGAAATATTTCACTCTCTTGCCGCCTTGCAGTTGTGTTTGCGACACGGGCTATCCCTGCAGCCCTCTAGACCTGCCAGTCAATCTGTCAGTCCAGTGTTGTAACTTGTCATGTCTGACTGTCTACACTTCCTCGAGTGCAGCTGCTACTGGGAGCTGCTTTACACATGAATTAGCACGGAGGCTTATTCTGCATTCCCTCAGTGCCAGGGTTTCTTACCTACAGTTCTTATCTTCTTATAAGGCTATTTTTTCTTTTAGGCTAGTCTACTTCTGTGTGCCTTCAATGTCA